TCATTCTTTTTTTCCTTCATCATCCTCCTATATTATAAGTAATAGGAAGTAAATTAAAATAAAGTGAGGTACCTTGATTGTTTTTGTAGTCTAATTTTTTTATCACAGACCACTTGAAAAGTGCTGAGGGTCTCGGTGGACCACTTAATGATCTTTCCAAATATTGTTTGTACCATTAGCTAACTATTGTAAAGTGCTTTGGATAAGAGCGCTTTATTAAAAAAAAATCATAACCTTTTCTCAGTCCATCTGAATGGAGTTCTCGGACCACAGTTTGAGAACTTCTGGTCTAGATGAAAGCTTGCATTTGCATTGTGTAAAAATAAAAAGTATCGATGATGCATGAATGGAAAAATATGTTAACTTCCTCTAAAGAAACTTATTCCATTTGAAAAAAAAATTATTCACATAGCTTTTTTTCTACACTTTTTCTTTCTACACAAAATCATCAATTAAGCCGTAAGTAATATTTTGTAAAAGGGCAGTTGCAATTGTCAATATTGCTGAACTTGTCAAATGTTTCTGACTCATCGTATTTTGCAAATAATTTTTAACTCGTTTCAATACAGAAAAAGAATGTTTACCAGACGCATTTGTGACACGTATTGTTAAATATTTTCAGAATGGTTTCTACATTTGGAAAGGTTGCCTGCAAACTGTCATGTATAAATCTATACAAATCAACTGCTGATCTCGAAGCACAGACCTCATCATTTTCGATAAAATGAATGAAATGTATCCCTTCATCTTCAAAAAGATTTATGTTTATGTCCTCTCGGTAGAATTCACTTAATTTCTTACTGTAGTGGCTTTTAGCATTTTCGTCCATAACGTTCCGTTCTGTCAAAAAACACGCAAAATAAATCAACAGTTTTCTTTAGAGATTCACCTCTACTTTGCAAATGCACTATTACTGTGTCACAAATAACATTGACTGTCTCAAGGATGATCTTCTCTTTCCCTTTTTAAATTGATTTCATTGTCTCTAGTTTCATCAAAAAATAACTTCCTGGTTTTTTTACGCTTCTCATCAGATATATCAGAGGAACCTATATTTTCTGTTAAGTTAGTGTCTCTGCTTCCACCAAGCTATAGTCATTCCAAACTTCCATGACAAAACTTGTAACTGAGGCTAACAATTGTACAGCATTCAATAAATTTGTATCAACCTTTTGCAGTGATTTGCTGACAACATTAATTCTTTGAAGTAAATGGTTCCACAAAGGAGTAAAAACAGCAATATCATACTTTTCAAAATTTTCTGCTAAGGATTTTGCTTCAGTTTTCGCACATGGTTTTTCAGAATTTGATGTACCGATGTCTAATAAGATTTTCTTGATAACATCATAGCTCATTTTCAAAGCCAAAACAGCATCTGCATGAGCAGACCACCTGGTGTCACAAATTCTTTTGACTGTCAAATGTTTTTCATTTGCCTGCTCCAAGCGTGATGGTAGCATACTCCACCAATGTGTGGAAACTGGAAAAAAAGGCGTATGTGTTTTGAACAAAGTAAAAAAAAATGTGTAGCTCCCTCACAAGATTCGGCTGCAGATTAAATTTAAAGAATGGCTGGAACATGGTATGAATAAAGCAGAGGGATTTTCATTGTTCAGTCTCGGCTGTAGACCTGAATATTTTCCCGCCATATTTGCGGCGTAATCAAACCTCTGCTCACGACAATTTTTGATGTCCAAACCTAAATTTGCAATGATTTCCAAAACAGTTGTCTCTAGATGTGCAGAAGTGTGGGATTTTAGCAGGACAAAACAAAGAAATCACTCTACGACTTCACCATTGCTAGTCACATATCTTAAAATGAATGTTAACTGATCTACATGACTCACATCTGGTGTTGAATTGACTATTATGGAATAGTACTTGGCATCCTTTACTTCATCAGTGAATTGGTTTGTCAGCTGCTCTGCCATTATAGCAGGGGTTCCCAAACTTGGTTCGTGGCTTGTTAAGGGTAAGCCCCTGGTGGGCCGCAAGACATTTTGTTTACCTGAGCGTCTGCAGGTACAGCCACTCGCAGCTCCCAGTGGCCGCAGTTCACCATTTCTGCGAAACTGTGGGAAGTGGCTCGGGCTGGGGAGCTGTGGGAGGTGGCTTGGGCTGGGCCACCGCTTCCTGCAGCTCCCATTGGCTGGGAGCTGTGAGCGGCCGTACTTGCAGATGCTCAGGTAAACAAAACATCTTGCGGCCCACCAGGGGCTGACCCTGAACAAGCCGCGAATCAAGTTTGGGAACCCCTGCATAATACTGATGAATTCATTGTAGGTTTGGTGTGTTAAAAAGTTGGTCTTCCCTGAGCCATAATACTGATAATTTTTCAAATGTTCATTGAGAAAATTGTCAAATTCACTAAGATATTCAAGACAGGTTAAAAAATTATCTTTTCGATTTGACAATGATGACTTATCATGTCCTCTTAGAGATATTCCCAAAGAAGACAGCACTTTGACCGTGGCAACAACACGTCTCAGCACTTTCCTCCAATAAGAACACTCCTTTTCAAACTGAGCCGATAACACAGAATCAGTTCTTCCAGATACTTTACACCTTTGAATGAACTTACACATAGCATTAATATGAGCGTTGGAAGTTTCATGATCAGCAATATGTCTTGCAATGTTTCTCCAATTAGAGTGCCCGTCAACAAATGTTTGTTTTCCTTTACTATGGTCAGGGAATAATTTGTAAATGTAACAGGAGACTGCCTTGGTGGTTTCCGAAAAAATCAACCAATTTCTCATTTCTGTCATCCCATTTTTCTTCATCCTCAGAAAATGGGACTCATGAAGACATCTAAATTGCTTTTGTCCTCCAACCTCATACTCTTTTCTCAAATTTTCCATATTACCGACATTTTTCGGTTTATTTACTAAGAAAAATTCTATCATATCCAATGAAACAGATTTTGGCCATAATGCAATGTCTTCAGAGTAGGTTTCTTCTCTTACTTTGACAAAATTACCAATATTTTGTAGTTCCCGTGACCCTTCAGAATCCACTTGTTCAACTTTTGCAGTCGTCGTGGTATCCCCACAACTCAGCAAGTGATCAGATAATTCAGATGTTTCTTCGCCCACACTTTTTGATGAATGTCCACTATTCAATACTTCAAGCTCTTTAAAATAAGATGAGTCTTTTTGCTTATCTTTGTCTTCTTGCCTCACCTTCATTTTTTCGCGTTTTTGACGGACAGACTCAGTGTCACTTCATTATTGCTAAAAAACTGACCTTGATTTTAGGTAGATTCAAAATATCTGAAAGAGCAGGGGCATAGCCATGGGGGGAGGCCTAGAAGGCCGTGGACCACCCAATTAGGTTTAACAACAATGGTGCTGGAATGTTTTTAATAGTGGGGTGCTGAAAGCCAGCCCCTGTCCTGCCCAGGCATGGGTCCAGACTGTGGCGTGGGTCACAGGGCAGCAGCCAGGTCCATAGGCACAAGAACTAGGGGTGCGAGAAGGGCTGCTGACAGAATTTCCAGGCCTCTGGGTGAGGTGGGGGGGCCATCTCTGACCCCCCCCAGAAAGTGCAGGACCTCAGGCGGAAGGGGTGGGCTGGGGGCCCAGCGCATGAGTAGAACCGCCATGGAGCTGGAGAAGGAATCAGGAGAGGAGACACCAAGATCTCCATGGCCACCGAGGACAGCTTCGGGCACCCCAGTGGCCCCGCACTGGTTGGCCCAGAGAAGCGGGCAGAAAACCCACCTTAAGGTGAGAGGGGGGCATGGTTCCATTGGCAGCCACCTGAGCACTCTGCTGCCTCTGCATGCTCATCTCTGCTCACCTCCCCTGGTCGGCCCCCCCTGCCTGTGGGCTCTGTGCCAGTTCTGGCAGCCAGCCCCATCCCACAGCTCCGCCCCGGTGGGCTGTGCCCAGCTGCCGCTCACCAGGCAGCAGTGAGCAGCGCGAATGTGGGCCAGAGGACTCAGGAGAAGCAGGAGGCAGCCATGCAGCCAGAGAGAAGTGGCAGTTTCCCCTTCAAAGCGCCGCTTCTCTCGGGGCAGCTGCGCGGCCACCCTGTGCTCCTCCTGCATCCTCTGGCCCATATTCGCAGCGCTCACCGCCACCCGTACCTCCCATCTGCTCCCCTAAGGCTGCAGGTGAGCCTCCCTCCCTGCTCTCCTGCCCCCTCACAGCTTCTGCCCCCACAGTCCCCCCTCCGCGGAGTGGGCTGCCTGAGTGCCCAGCCCTGGGGCCCCCTGCCATTGCCGGGCCCCGTGCCAGGGCACGGTATATTTTGCAGTAAATCTGCCCCTGATTAGACCAACTTCTGTTGGTGAGAGAGACAAGCTTTCGAGCTATACAGTGTAGCTTATCTTTTTCATCAACAGAAGTTGGTCTAATAAAAGATATTACCTCACCCACCTTGTCTCCCTTACATTAAACTGTCAGTTTTAAGCTAAACTAAACCTGGCCATCAAAACAGCCAGGAGATGGCCTTCAGACAAGATTTATAATTCATATGGTTTCTATCATGTGCACACTTGCTACTGCCATTTAAGTACTTTATTTAGGTACAGAAGATTTAAGTTTATTAAATATATTAGCAACTGTGGAACTTTAAAGGATTCTGTTTAGTAGATTTTGAAGTATTATGAAGCTCTCATTCTTTGACCGGGAATTTTATTTTTCTTGGGGCTGGCAGGTAACAAAACAGACTTCATTATAATATTGTTTGTATAATATCTTCCAAGTTGCAAAAAGAAGTGTAATAGAACAGTGTCTTACAGAAGTTAAATGATGCTGACAGGATGAAAATGCTGCACTTGTAAAATGTTATGCTAACATTTTGTCCTTAAACTAGATTCACTGAATGGAAAAGAAATATTTTGATATGAAAACACAGCACACTTCCTGTGTCCTGACATACAATATATAAGACCTTTTTCAGGGAGTGCATGTCAATATTGAAATAGCAGCATTGTAGCTATCTACAATTGGATTCAGAAAAAAGAAACTTCATCTTAATTTTTCCCTTTATAGTGATTCTGTCACTCATATTGTGGCAGAGAACAATTCTTGTGCTGAAGTTCTGGAATGGCTGAGAGGACACAAGGTGAGGGACAGTTCAAGGTTCGAACTCCTTGATATCTCTTGGTTCACGGCTTGCATGGAAGCTGGAAAACCAGTGGATTCAGAGAAAAAACATCGACTCATCGTAAGTCAGATATTTCAATGTGAATAAAGGTTGTTTGACAATAAGCTTAAAAGTCAGGCTAATCAGGCAACTCTCACTTCGCTTCAGTGTAAACTTTCTGTTGTAGAGCATTTGCATTGAAATACATGTATGTTTTTATTTTAAATGCTTGCTTGGTGGAAAATTCATATTGTTTTCATAAATTAAAAGGAAAATCCTTTTAGAGATAGTCATAGTTACCATGATCTGGTGTATTAGTACTGAAATAATACTGTTCATCATTCATATAAATTTGGTGCTGTCATAAATATAAAGGGAAGGGTAAACACCTTTAAATCCCTCCTGGCTAGAGGAAAAACCCTTTCACCTGTAAAGGGTTAAGAAGCTAAGATAACCTCGCTGGCACTGACCAAAATGACCAATGAGGAGATAAGATACTTTCAAAGCTGGGGTGGGGTGGAGGGGGGGGGGACGACAACAAAGGGTTCTCTCTGTCTGTGTGCTGCTTTTGCCGGGACCAGAGCAGGAATGCAGGTCAGAACTCCTGTAAAGAGTTAATAAGCAATCTAGTTAGATATGCATTAGATTCTGTTTTGTTTAAATGGCTGATAAAATAAGTTGTGCTGAATGGAATGTTTATTCCTGTTTTTGTGTCTTTTTGTAACTTAAGGTTTAGCCTACAGGGATTCTCTATGTTTTGAATCTGATTACCCTGTAAGGTATTTACCACCCTGATTTTACATTTTTCTTTAATTAAAATTCTTCTTTTAAGAACCTGATTGCTTTTTCATTGTTCTTAAGATCCAAGGGTTTGGGTCTGTGTTCACCGATGCAAATTGGTGAGGATTTTTATCAAGCCTTCCCCAGGAAAGGGCGTGTAGGACTTGGGGGGATTTTGGGTGGAAAGACGTTTCCAAGTGGGCTTTTTCGCTGCTATATTTGTTAGACACATGGTGGTGGCAGCAATAAAATCCAGGGACAAAAGGTAAAATAGTTTGTACCTTGGGGAAGTTTTAACCTAAGCTGGTAAAAATAAGTTTAGGGGGTTTCTCATGCAGGTCCCCACATCTGTACCCTAGAGTTCAGAGTGGGGAAGGAACTTTGACAGGTGCCATTAAAGGAAAAAATTACCTCACTCAAGAATTTACCTTTGCTATGGTATTTCCACAAATACTTAAAATAGTAAGTACCTCAGACAGCACGGTAAATGTAACTACGCTGAATTGTACATGCCCCATTGTAATAACTCTCACTGTCATATTTTGCATTTTCAAAACAATGTACAAACATTAAAACCTGTACTATTCAGAATTGATCTGTGTGCCCCTGAGAATCTATGAAAGGACTGGTGATGTAATCTGTGTGTAAAGGAGTAGTCATTGGAATTTAATATTATTACAGAGTTGGTACTAGTGAGGAAAAATATGGTAGGGAATACAGGAGTTGTTTTATTGTATTGTGTCACAGAAGGATCTGTACCGAAGATGATACTAGACTATAATATTTTTTCCCTATTCTGCGAATAGTGCAGGACCCCTCACGTTGGGGATAGTGACATAGTAAACTGCTCTTGGTACTGCACTGTAGCTGATAAGGTAATACTGCAGTTGGGGTTTTAGTATTAAATGGTGTTATTCTGTAGCATCACTGCAGGCTGCACATTGTGGAGTGTGATGTACAGTGACAATATCCCTACAAGCTGTGTACTCTAGGTGGTGACTTAGTACCACTGGACGATTTACAGCAGTGATACTCAGACCTCAGTGGTTCAGGAACCCAAATTAGCAATCAGCATTACCCAAAAGAGCCAGAGTAGTGTGAGTTCATTGTTTCATATACTGTAGTACTATATATTCATATTCAAACAGTATGACAGAAGAAATATTTAGTTTGTGTTTGTGTACATATATATATTCTCACAGCAAAATGACTGACCAAGTATTATATTGAGTACAATTGGTTAATAATGTAGTAAAAACATATGTTTGTTGGCAGAGGTAGGGGCCTGATCCAGACCCCTTTAAAATCAATGAGAAGATGTCTATTGACTTGCAAAGGGCTTGGATTAGGTAACTGTAGTACCACTGTAGAACTATATTGTGGAAGGTGATGGACAATAGGACCATTACAAGATTTGCAGTGTATAGCTTAGTGTTGTGTATAATATGTACAAATGAATCAGCAATGTCATTTTTTCTTTTTATTCCTCCTCTTCTTGATGATTAAAGTATGAAGAATGATCTACCTATTAAATACCCCTGAAATACTGTGGTTCCTGGGTCACTTTCCAGTGCCGGAAACCAAAACCTGATATGGAATCTAGTCTCTGAGATTTAAGATGGGAGAATGCCTGTTTAGTAAGATTTTTAAAAATGAGTACACCAGATGGCACTATTGCTCTCAGGCTCAGAATAATGTAGTAACATGTATATATTTTCATTGCTCACTTTCTACTGGGCCTGCTGAAGGGATAATGCTCTAAATAAATTCATGCAGATCAGAAATAAAAACAAAATACCATATAATTATCACATTATGCAATCTCTCAGAGAGACAGGTCATGAAGGTTTGAATTCTGGATTACTTTCAAACTTAACTGACTGAAATTTTTCAAAAAAGCAAAACTAAACCGAACCTTTAAACTTTGTTGAGTATTTAACTGTGAGATGCAGACTTAAACCAAATGTCCTATTATTCACTTTCAATTTAATTTTGGCAATGTCTAAATTCCCACAGCTTAAAATTTTCAAGAAAATATGCTTATATAGGCTGATTATTTTAAGGGAGGGAGTTCAAATAAACCTTGGTAAAATTTACTCTTCACTAGGGTTTTCATTGATATCTGGATAAGAAATTAATCTGCATTAGTTTTCTTGCATGTACAGTAAGAGGTTCTATCTGGATTTCTGGAAGAGCTAGCCTTACTGAAAAAGCAAGTAATACTGAAGTATGATCATTATGTAGCTGTGAGACCAATTCTGCAAGTGAGATCTTCCACTATATCAGGTATAAATATTTCATACAAATAAATGCAGAGCCTAATAAGCACAGTACCACGTAGTTATAAATGTGTGTAATAGTTAACTTAAAATGTGCATGATTTAGATAGATCTTAAAGTAATAAATACTTTTGTATAATACAATATTTTAAATACAGGAAAGAAAAGAGAATGTAGAAGTTCAGCAAATTTAAAACAGTCTCATCATGACTGTGTTACCAGGAAAGGCTCTGTACAGTATTCCTTCTGCATCAAGGAATGAGAGAGGCATGAAATCAAGGTTAATTGTTTATTAAAATACTAGGCCAAATTCATGTCTCATGTAATTGGAGTTACATCATGTACAAATCTGGCCCATTATAATAGTCTTTTTAAATGTAAAATGAAAGTGAATTTGAAAACTATAAGCACAGGCTGTATCATGAAGGGTTCTTTTCTGAAAAGAATGGATGGCAGTGGGTAAAGATTTTGTGTGAAATCCTGGTCCCACTAAAGTTAATGACAAAATTCCCATGCACTTCATAGCATCAAGATTTCCCCTTTCTGGTTTTATTGGTCTATTTGGGATGCTGGGGTTCCTCCAGGACTTTTGTTTTAATGCATTACTAAAAGGTAAAGTCCATGCCCATGCACAACAAGGGAAATAAAAACAGACTTACAGACCATTAGGTAATAAATTAATGAAAACCTCTTTAAAATACAGTTTTCTCTGGTTGTGAATACCTTATGAGGTACTCTGATACTGAAGTGACGGACACAATATAAAAACCAGAACTAAGCTGATAGGAGTTCTTAGCTATCCATACTGTAATAATTAGCCTTTGCGGCTGCCAGCTGCTGTTACATTTCCTAAGCTCTTCAGCTGTGGTGATTAAGCCTCATCTTTAAAGGAAAATCAAAATATTTCTTTGTTCTACAGACTACTTATTAGGCCTTCTGCCCCACCTACAGCAAAGGATCCCTCAATGCACCTAACCTGATCATCATATTTCAATCAGTTTTGTCGACAGTGACATCAGTGACATGGTCAGATAGTCTTCTCAGAGGTTTCAGAGTAGCAGCTGTGTTAGTCTGTATTCGCAAAAAGAAAAGGAGTACTAGTGGCACCTTAGAGACTAACTAATTTATTTGAGCATAAGCTTTCGTGAGCTACAGCTCACTTCATCGGATGCATTCAGTGGAAAATACAGTGAGGAGATGTATATATACACAGAACATGAAAACACCCATTTTTTCATGTTCTGTGTGTATATAAATCTCCTCACTGTATTTTCCACTGAATGCATCCGAGGAAGTGAGCTGCAGCTCACGAAAGCTTATGCTCAAATAAATTGGTTAGTCTCTAAGGTGCCACTAGTACTCCTTTTCTTTTCTCAGAGGTTGTAATGCAATGGGGGTCCTCAATTGTTGGGATGCAGTGATGTTTCCTGGCTAATGTCAATAAAATATATAAGACAATGAGGAAGCTTTAAAGAGAAAGGGGATAATAAGGGGAAAAAAAGATTGTCATGAGGCATAGGGAACAGAATGGAAGAAATATTTCATGTGGTGCTGACAGGTAGCATCCCCCAGAAACAAAATGAAAACAGGAAACTAGCCTGATGAGCCCATCCCCATCCTCTCCTCTTCTCCCCACTCATACAGTTCTGGAAGTGAGCAGAGCTTGCTAGTATGAGTTTTCCATCTTCTTGATCTATGCAGCTGGAGCCACGTAACTAATACAAATGTGTCAGGTTGCCCTTGCTGCTGAACAAATTGGCCTGCAACAGGGTCAATAATATCCATAACTGCTGCTTATTTTGGAGGGGAATTTAGTCCTTAGTTGGCAAGGGGTTAGGTTTCAGCACTTATTTGCAGTAATTAAATTTGAAAGATTTAGCTTGGACTGTGGCAGACATTGTGGTGTACTGCAGCCTGTAAAGATAGAAAGTAGTAAAGTGGTCATAAAGGGGTTAACTGGGTTACACAGATTATTATGGGCTGGAGCCATGCTCCACTCCTCCTTTACTTCCTGTTTAGTTAATGTCTGTTATCACCCACTCTGTTGCTATGTTGTTGAATAAAGCAGCAGATTCCTGGGCTGCCGTCCTCTGCAGAGTGTGTTATGCACTGAGCAGTCCCCTTTACAAAAGAAAGATACTAGCATACCCTCAAAAATAACACTAAAGTATCCGTGGTTAAGCTAAGCCACACTGGTCATGAACAAAACATGGACACTATTCACAAATCAGGGTAAAGTTAGAGAGAGATTTAACCTTTAAGAAGCTCCCATACCCTTTACAGCACACCATAAATTGCATCTTTACCCATCACTTTTACTCGTGGTGAGGGCTCTTATGTGTCCCCTTTTTGAGCCAAATTGTAAGATCTCTAGCCTGGCACTAAATTTGCAAAAATGAGGTAAAAGCTGTTTTGTTGCTGTTTTGAATAATAAACATGTTGAATCTTAGGAGGTCAGCCAGAGGAAGTGGGGGATTTTCAAAATCACCATTGGGATTTGGATGCCCTTATCTCATTAAAATGATTGAGTATCTAAATCTCTTGGGTGGATCTGGAAAATTTCAGCCATATTATCCATATTATATGCAGTACCCAGGCACTGGTGCAGTAACTGACTGCAAAGTATCTAGACTCCAGATAACCCAAGATTTGAAGATAGAAAGTGAAGGGAGTGATGGAAGGCATCCAAGTAAGTATGGTCACTCCTCAGTTTAAATGCATAGATCACTAGAGCTTGTGGCTATCTTCACTTGAAAGTGACTGAAATAAAAACATTCATGGATAATACATAAAAAGTGCTCTTTTATTAAATCAGTGAACCAGTTACATTCATTCTATTAATATGTTCATAGATAAGCCAGTTGTGGTTTATCTATGAACGTATTCCCCATTGCAGTGCACTCTCACCACTTTTTTAGTGCAGCGTGCCTTGTGTTCGCACAATACATTGTGTTTAAAAAAACATTAAATCTTGTTCATTCTGTCTTTAATATTATACTTCTCTTTGTTCCTCTCATATATGTCTCTTTCTGTCTGCATTGATTAAAAAAATTAAAATAGAGCAAAGTAGGCTTTTCCAAGGTTAGCCATGAACCTAGGACTCTCTTACCAATTGCAGTGAGACTAAGATATTCTTTGGCTCATGAAGCACTGAAAATATCATTGTAAAAGGAATGACAATAAGCTTCTCTGTTCAGAATACTGCCATCTTAATGGTTCACTTCTTCTATATGCACTCACGTTTGGCTGAATTTATCTCACATTCAGAAAAAGAGATGGAAAATGAGAGCAGCATTAATTTTCACCTATTTTGGGGAAAATCTGGAGACTCGATTTGGGCTTATCCCATTAGATATTTTATATTTCTAGCATTAAAGAATCAGGAGTTTGGTATTTATACTTCTTGTGACAAAGTTCCTTCTCTACCTTCTCTACCTTGGTGGGTCTTGTGCTTATTGGTGGGTTTGCTCACCTTAGAGCTTCACGGCAACCCTTAATTTGGCTGTTTTCATGAACCCACATCCAGGTCAACTCCTCCTGTGTCTGACCAGGAGTTGGGAGGTTTTGGGGGGAACCAGGCACACCCTCTACTCCGGGTTCCAGCCCAGGGCCCTGTGGAATGCAGCTGTCTAGAGTGCCTCCTGGAACAGCTGTGTGACAGCTACAACTCCCTGGACTACTTCCCCATGGCCTCCTCCAACACCTTCTTTATCCTCACCACATGACCTTCCTCCTGGTGTCTGATAATGCTTGTACTCCTTAGTCCTCCAACAGTATGCGTTATCACTCTCAGCTCCTAGCGTCTCTTGCTCCCAGCTCCTTACATGCGCACCACAAACTGAAGTGAGCTCCTTTTTAAACCCAGGTGCCCTGATTAGCCTGCCTTAATTGATTCTAGCAGCTTCTTGATTGGCTGCAGGTGTTCTAATCAGCCTGCCTGCCTTAATTGTTTCCAGAAAGTTTCTGATTGTTCTGGAACCTTCCCTGTTACCTTACCCAGGAAAAAGGGACCTGCTTAACCTGGGGCTAATATATCTGCCTTCTATTACTCTCCTGTAGCCATCTGGCCCAACCCTATCACAGTCTATAAAAGAGGAAAGGAAATGGAAACATGACTAAGAGGCTGGCATTTTTCCCATACATGGAAGTAACAAGCACTGTAGCCAGGAAATTTATACAGAGAAACAGAGCTTTCGAAAGGTTTAAAACTCTTTTCTCACATGCACCCTAATGGAAAATATTTGTTGCTGTTCTGTAGCAGTTGCATAGATGATATGAGCTACTTGTCAAAACAACTAGGAGACCTACATACCAGGGTATTTTCAAATTCCTTTGGCCCTTATTTAATTGACCATAATCTGCATTTTATATGCAAGAGCGATCTAAAGCTATGGAAGAGAAAGATTAATAGATACTTTTCACTCCTATTAGTAGCTGTTTCTATACAGTACAGTAAATTGGCTGGCAAGGCAAAATGTGTGGTTGGGGTTGGGGTGCTGCAGTGTAATTCTTGCTGGACAGAGATATCTGGATTTGTACCATTATCTGTACAAGCAATAATCTCCCATCTGTTCTCCACACTAAAAAGCAAAATAAATCCTGCTCTCATGTTTTGTTCACGATAGAAAGAGACAATTTCTTTAGTGTTCATGCTGGTACCTTAACGGGTCCTACAAATCAGACTACGGTAATTATAGTTTGCATACTTATTTCTACTGATTTCTGTCCCAAGTTTGTTCTGTTAATTATATAACCAGGTCTTGTTAATTAAAAACATAACCTTTGTGGATACTAATGGTGGGGAAAAAGCTCATATAATTTACCAAAGGCAGGAACAGGATGTGTATGTGCCAGCTTACCCTTCTCTTGGACACACAGAAAGAGTTTCTGCTTTATTATTGCTCTCAGTATGTTCTCAGCCTACCTGCCTGATACCTGGATTCAATTCCACCACGGATTATTCTTCTCAGGACTCAGTTCTTGGATAGCTGCCTTTGCAGCCTAATGAAAATAATGCCTCACTGTATATTCCATTCAGTAACGTTCTTTTTGTTCACCAGCTTCCCAGTGGCATTGTATTTCAGGCAGTACATTAGCTATAATCAATCATAGTGCTTATGATTTAAAATCAGTTTTAAAGTGTCATTCATGAAAGTATACAAGAGTGGCAGAGCAATGCTGCTGACCCTCACTGAAACCCTTTTTGTCTATTCACTAGAACAACCTTAGACAGACAGGCAATAACTTCCTTCCTTTCAAAATAGTCAGTAAATTCTCTTTTCCTTCAGCAGCATAAAAATGACCTTGAGTTTCTGAGAGTACCATTACATAACTGGATGAATTCTTATATTCTCCACTGGCTCATATCCAATGGCATCTTTTACATGAAATAATATATACATAATAGCTTATTTAGTGTTGTTGCAATTGTCCCTCCCCACACAGAGAAAGTGGTATAGAGAAAGTGGTCATCTTTCCATTGTTGAGGTGGAAGCAAGCTTCCCATTATAAGCCTGATTTTTTTGTCTTCCTCTCTGACTTCACCAATATTAAACCAGTTCAACTGGAGTATGTGGAATGACTATTTATGTTCTTTCAATTTTTACTATTCTAGTTTGGGAATCTTGCTTCACTAACAAAGGAAGCAATGCTGTTTAGGTCATGTCTACTGGTGTTAGCACCACAGTATAGACACTTCCTACATTGATTAAATGGGGTTTTCCATCCGTGTAGATAATCTACCTTCCTGAGTGGCAGTAGGTAGTCAAAGAATTCTTTCATCAACCTTGCTGGGTTGGGGAGTTAGGTTGGTGTAACTACAGTGCACAGGGGTGTGAATTTTTTCATACCCTTCAGCAACATAGCTAGGTCAATCTGAATTTTAAGCAAAGACCAAGGTCTTCATGTTTACACGGCATGGGTATATTCTATTCCAAATCTACTACTGACCTGCTGTGTAACCTTGTGAAAGTTGCTTAACTTCTCTCTGCCTCATTTTTCCTTTTGGAAACTAGGGATAATAATATTTACTTATTCTTGTTAATATTTCTATGGGAGTAGAGAGATCTATGCAGGTATTTCATAACTCACACTTCTGTTGGGGGTGAAAAAGTGGGGAAAAGTTTCATGGGATGCAGAGACGACCATCACATCTTTCCAGTTCAAGAATTGACTTTTGTGTAACGTATTTTGAGATCCTTGGACATAAATCATAGGTAAGTGTAAAGTAATAATAATAAAAATATATGTATGGCAGCACCTGGAATATAAGCAAATGAATATTAAAATGAAATTAACTATTTCACTATTCTGATTTCACTATTCTGTTGTTCTGGGAGCATATTTTTTGGTGTTCCAGACTATTTGACATTCAGTACTTTTTTCCCCCCTCTCTGTTCAGGTGCAACAAGCTTATCCTGCTACTTCAGACACACCTGAATCAGAAGCTTCATCATTTGTTGCAGGCAGAGTCTCCCAGTATGCATGTCAAAGGAGGACCACCTTAAATAACTGCAACAAAAAGTTCACGGTAATAGATTTTCCATGAAACCTACAGCTGAGGAGAGTAAACTAATATAGTTCTTGTGTCAATATCATCCACAATACAGTTGGCAAATCCAAAATGAAATGTGCAACATGAGAAGTGGAATTTTTATATATATATAAAATCATGAACCTGACAAATCTAAAGTTAAATTGATCTTAAGGGTAGGGCTGTCAAGCAATTAAAAAAATTAATAGCATTTAAAAAAATTAATTGCGATTAATTTGCTGTTAAACAAAAATAGAATACCATTTATATAAATATTTGTCAAGTATCAGAGCGGTAGCTGTGTTAGTCTGTATCCACAAAAACAAGAAGTCCAGTGGCACCTTAAAGACTAACGGATTTTTTTGGGCATAAGCTTTCGTGGGTAGAACCCCCCACTGCATCTGAAAAAGTGGGGTTTTTTTAACCCACGAAAGTTTATGCCCAGACTCCTCGTTATAAATATTTGTGGATGTTTTTCTACATGTTCAAATATATTTCAATTACAACACAAAATACAAAGTGTACAGTGCTCACTTTGTATTTATTTTTATTATAAATATTTGCACTGTAAAAATAAAAGAAATAGTATTTTTCAATTCACTTAATACAAGTACTGTAGTGCAATCTCTCTATCATGAAAGTTGAACTTACAAGTATAGTTGTGTACAAAAAATAACTGCATTCAAAAATAAAACAAACTATGTAAAACTTTCAAGCGGTGGTTCCCAAACTTGTTCTGCTGCTTGTGCAGGGAAAGTCCCTGGCAGGCCAGGCCAGTTTGTTTACCTGCCGTGTCTGCAAGTTCAGCCGATTGCGGCTCCCAGTGGCCGCAGTTCACTGCTCCAGGCCAATAGGAGCTGCTGGAAGTGGCGGCCAGTACATCCCTCGGCCTGCGCCGCTTGCAGCAGCTCCCATTGGCCTGGAGCTGTGAACCATGGCCACTGGGAGCCGCGATCGGCCGAACCTGTGGATGCGGCAGGTAAACAAACTGGCCTGGCCCGCGAGGAGCTTTCTTTGTACAAGTGGTGGAACAAGTTTGGGAATCACTGCTTTAAAGCCTACAAGTCCACTCAGTCCTACTTCTTGTTCAGCCAGTCGCTCAGACAAACAAGTTTGTTTACATTTGCAGGAGATAATGCTGCCCACTTTTTGTTCACAATATCACCTGAAAGTGAAAACAGGTGTTCGTCTGGCACTGTTGTAGCCAGCCTTGCAAGATATTTACATGCCAGATGCACTAAAGATTCATATGTCCCTTCATGATTCAACCACCCTTCCAGAGGAGATGCGCCCATGCTGATGATGGGTTCTGCTCGATAATGATCCAAAGCAGTGCAAACCAATACATGTTCATTTTTATCATCTGAGTCAGATGCCACCAGCAGAAGGTTAATTTTTTTTTTTTGGTGGTTTGGGTTCTGTAGTATCCACATTGGAGTGTTGCTCTTTTAAGACTTCTGAAAGCATGCTCCTCATCTCATCCCTCTCAGATTTTGGAAGGCAGTTCAGATTCTTAAACCTTGGGTCGAGTGTTGTAGCTATCTTTAACAATCTCACATTGGTACCTTAGAATCATAGAATCATAGAATATCAGGGTTGGAAGGGACCTCAGGAGGTCATCTAATCCAACCCCCTGCTCAAAGCAGGACCAATCCCCAACAAAATCAAATAGGACCAGTCCCCAACTAAATCACAAACAAACCTTGTTTGTGTTTTGTCAAATCTGCAGTGAAAGTGTTTTTAAAATGAACAACATGCTGGAGCATCATCTGAGACTGCTATAACATGAAATATATAGCAGAATTTGGGTAAAACAGAGAAGGAGACATAAAATTCTTCCCCGAGGAGTTCAGTCACAAATTTAATTAACACATTATTTTTTTTAATAAGCGTCATCAGCATGGAAGCATGTCTTTTGGAATGGTGGCCAGAGCATGAAGGGGCATATGAATGTTTAGCATATCTGTCATGTAAATACATTGCAATGTCAGCTACAAAAGTGCCATGCAAATTCCTGTTCTCACTTTCAGGTGACATTGTAAAAAAGAAGTGGGCAGCAGTATCTCCCCTAAACAAACTTGTTTCTCTTAGCGATCGCTGCACAAGAAGTAGGACTGAGTGGACTTGTAGGCTTTAAAGTTTTACATTTTTTTTGTTTTAAGTGCAGATATAACAACAAAAAATCTACATTTGTAAGTTCAAATTTCACTATAAAGAGATTGCACTACGATACTTGTATGAGGTGAATTGAAAAATACTATTTCTTTTATCATTTTTACGTTGCAAATATTTTTAATAAAAATATAACTTGAGCACTGTACACTTTGTATTCTGTGTTGTATTTGAAATCAGTATATTTGAAAGTATAGAAAAACATCCAAAATATTTAATAAATTTCAATTAGTATTCTATTATTTAACAGTGTGATTAAAACTGCAATTAATCATGATTAACTCAAAAAATTAATTGCGATTAAAAAAATTAATGACGTGAGTTAACTGTGATTAATCGACAGCCCTACTTAAGTGTAATTATGTGTTTTAAGTGTTGCTATTGAAAAGTTAACTTGGTGGATCTTTAAATGGTGTATTAATAGTTTTCAACTGCTAATTTTAAACATATTACTTTCAATATACTGCTCTTATAATATGATCTTTTGACCTTTCATTACAATATCACATGATAGAATGAGGGCCCAGCTATACAATGAGTTGTTAGAACATTTTATCTAAAATGGATTGGTCTTGGCCAATCCGAGTGTAAAGATACAGTATAATTGTTGAATTTTTTCCATTATGCAATTCCATGCACTCGGGTTGTGAAGCTCTTATTTTAGTAATAATTTTAGATATGAATAATCATTCAAACATATCTTAATTTATTTAAGCATTTTAGGATAAAAAGAAAATCGTAATTACTTTCTAGTTAAATAGGCATCTCATAAACTGTCATATGCTGTACTTACCCTCTTAATATTACAGATCTGTACACCCTTCCCATGTACTTGATATATTTACATATGTGTAACTATAAAACACATCTCTAACTACAGTTCTATTTATTAATAGTAATACCTGACACGTACACTGTGTACGTGTGTGTGTAAATATGTGTCTATATAATATATATAATTTTATTTATAAGATCCAGATTAAAAAATACATTAAAATGGAACTAAAGTTGAGAATATATACTCATAATTTAAGAGTAAAAACACTATAGCGATGTTGTACTTAATCCAAAACCAAGTATTACAAACCCTGGAAAGTTGGAATTAATGTTGAATTTAAAAGAAATCTAAATATTTTCATTTCTGGAAATGCAGTTAAGATACCCTAACAACCTTATATCCTTCTTGTAGTTATGCTATGTAATAATCATGTGATTATGATTTGTGCATAATAGCGTTTGTGGTCCTAGATGAGATTAAACTGATTTTAAGAATACATTAGATTTTAAAAAAAATGTTTTTCCTTTCATGGCATCATTACTATGCAGTGTTTGGATTAATGGTCTTTGTTGTTGTTTTTCATAACTGAAATATACTTCTTGAGCAGGAATTGATTAACAATATTTTGCCCTGGAGAATTTGAAAAAACCTGTCCTCTTTCAAAAAAGCTACCATGTCCTATTTTGACCCACAGTGAAATTGAGGCTACATGCTACCCATAAGCAGACACCCTCTTTCAAAATGGTTACTGTCTTCCACTATCCCTAACAGGAGTGAGTCCAAGCCATGCTAAGGGAAGTTTGTGGGCCCCTATGTTTTCAGGACTTGTTATGTCCCTCAAGGGTATTGGGAACAATAGTGGTCATTCTGAAAAAGGGTGCCTTACTGGCCATAGCTTCACACTCATTAAGAACAATAGGAGATGACAGTCATTTTCAAAGAGGCAATTCATGGAATTCTCTGTAGTAGAACTTTTGCCACACCATGCTGAAGGAGAAACTTTCAGTTAAGAATAATGGCCAAAAATGACAATTAATCCTCAAAGTGCGTGAGATTTCAGAGAGTCTTAACTATCTGGGAGGTGTTATTTCATCATTAAGACACTCAGGACAAAAAGATCTGACAGAAGATGCTAAGTTTTTTAAATGATCCATTTGAAAATGAATGGTTACTCCAATGAATGGATTTATTTGTAAATTCTCCAAGTTCATTCTATACTCAGAGTAAGTGCTCTAATTTTGGGGAGAATATGCTATAGTTGGAACGCATGAAGTGGCTGAATTCCTACATTAAGTGCAAAATTAAGTTCAGACTTAAATATGGAACCATGAGTGGAACCTCTATAATGTTTATGGGTGTCCCTTTATTGCAGTGTTTTCCATGGTGGGGCAGTGCTCAGAGAGTTTCCAAGTTTATTGCTGCAGAGGTCCCTAATGTTAGGATTCAAACTTATACTTGATGAATGATGTTGGTTGAACACTTTAGGGTCACTATAGTTTGGCAACTGGAACATAGAGGTTGTATCTTAGGGCTTGTCTCCACTTACCGGGGGATCAACGCACGGCGATCGATCCACTGGGGGTCAATTTAGCCAGTTTTAGAACCGCTAAATCAACCACTGATTGCTCTCCCATCAACTCCGGTACTCCACCAGAACGAGAAGCATAAGTAAGTCGCCAGGAGAGTTTCTCCCATCAACCCAGCATAGTGTAGACACCACAATAAGTTGACCTAAGGTGCATTGACTCCAGCTATGTTATTCATGTAGCTGGAGTTGAGTAACTTAGGTCAACTTTGCCCCATAGTGTAGATCTGCCCTTAGTCATTGTATAGATCAACTATTTGAAAGATTGTATGGCAATTAGTCACCCTTGTCCACATTAAACTATTTACTTTTTCATCGGCTTGACTTTCAGACAAAATGGTTTGTTGTGAGCTTGTTGTATATTTCCTTCTTGATGGTGTCATCTAACTAGTTGACAATGCTTATGAGTCTATCAAATATTTCCATCTCAAAGCTCCACAATAGATCTGCTTATTAGGGCTG